CGACATCTCGGCTCGCACTTTTCGAGCGAAAGAAAATATGCAGCAGACGCGCCAAAAAGAAAAAAAGAGCTCCCCACCTCGGAGAAGACGCAAGCCATTGGCGCTGACGTCCTCGTTGGGAGGAGCTGACCCCCTCTTCTCGTTTATGGCCATGGGTCAAGAGCCAAAATTCCGTACCCCAGTAAACATCGAACCACCAAAATAGGTTCTGAAATGGGTGGTGAATTCTCACCTACCAGCCAAAATGGGATACCAAAACGGCTTTGACTCCCAGCCACATCATTTCAAGCAAGGCAACAAGAGCCGCTCTCGCCTGCCAGGTCTGGGAGTCTTTGCCTGGGGCCTCAGACTTCAGTATCCAAAGATCCCTAAAAGTGGTGGGGTTGACAAATGACCAGGATGGGTACCTCTAGTTAAACTAGAGTCAACCATCCTGATCGTTTCTCAACCCCACCCTTGGGATCTTTGGATAGGTCTTGGTGGCAGTTTGCTGCGTGATTCCATCATGTTGTTTTACCTCCAAATTTGAGTGGCTGTCTTACAAATGAAGGTTTTTTTGGGTTACCTCCCACTTTTTTTGTGCGTGCGGGGTTTTGTTCAAGGCCGGATCCCCCTGCCCCAGGTCGACGAATCATAACTCAATGATGATCTTAGGGCCAGACCAAACTCGCGGGAGTCTAAGGATTGAACCTTGGCTCAGGTAAGCCCCTCACATTCTAAGGTCAAACCTTGCATTGAGCTTAATCATAGTGAGTAATAGTGAGGGACAGATTGTGCCGGTCAGCCCCCAAAGAAAGGCTGAACCATGTTCACCTGGTGACAGCGCCTTTGACGTGCTGCCCCGAAGGGCAGAAAATGGGTTTGAGGTCCAGAGACCTTCTCTTCGAAAAGCCTCTCTCCTAGGTCCCCCAGCAATTGGTGCCCTTTCTCACCCCCTTTGGTTGGGAGGGTTCCCTACTAACATAGACCACAGGAAAAAAGTGGGTACCCTTTTTCTAACCTCTCTGGAGGGCCTAGTCTCTGAGTCTCTGAGGCCGGCGGGGGACAAGGAGCGGCTCCACGACTTCATCGTCCGCCTGGATTTCCAGCTCATGAACGCCCAGCCCGCCCAGCCCAGGCAGAGATTCGACTTTTTCCTCGCGTCGGTTTTGTTTGCGTGGTGAAAAAGGTGGGACGGAAAGTTTTAGAGGGGTTGCGGCTGAATGTGTGAAAGGGAGTCCTCCCTTTGTTCGTTTTTTTCTCGAACGCACGGACATGTTGATTTCTGAAGAGGATGGGCAAAAAAATATGGCTTCGTGCCCTTGAAACGTGTCTGGCAGGATACAAGGAGCTTCCCCATGATCTTTCTGCAGAAGGCATTTGTCCTTTGTCAGAGGTGGCCCCGATCCACATATCTATCCGTTTGCCCTCATTCACTCCAAGAAGTCATGGCTCATGACGTCGCGCCAAAGCGCAAAAGAGACTCGTTGGAGTCTGTTAGTTGTGGCTTTTGGTTGAAACAACACAACCCCCAAAAAGGGTATCATCACACAACACGGTGGATGTTGGTCGGTGTGTAGCTTCTTCCCCTCGAGCCAATTTGGAGAATTTTGAAAGGAGCTTTCTTTTGGGATGTGCAAAGGGCACAGACCACTTCCATTTGGGTGCGGCTCAAAATTAAACAGGAGGGGTTACGTAGGTGTTGGTCCCTGTTTCCACTTAGAAGGGTTCCATTTTGGTACCGGTTTTTTGAGCCACTGCCATTTGCTGAAATAATGTCCTTGTTGTGTTTCCCCTTGAGGGAATCTATCACTGGATATGTGTTATATTTCCACGGGAGGTATAGAAGACAAGGAACCGTAAAAACACGTCTTTCCGCGAGGCAGTTCCTCATCGACGCCTTGGCCGAGGGCAATCCCTTGACATCTTCGCCGCTTGGCTGAAGCTCTTTCGGCAACTCACTTCCCATCAAATTATTGGACTTTAGTTCCCTTTTGGCTTGGAGCATTATTGTGGTAAACAGCAAGTGCGGTTATATACTTGTTTGTGCCATCTACTCAGGAAGTGAGTGAATGTAACTGTCATACCCAGGGTTGCAAAGACAGTCAAATGGCTGTGGGTGAATTCGCCACCCATTTTAGTCTATTTGAGTGGGGATTGGGATGTTCGCTGGGGGTACGATTTGGCTTTTGACCCATGGCCATTTATCCAAAGCAAGTGGTCAACGCGCCATTTCTCAAGCTTTTGGTTCCGCAAAGTTTTCTCGCAATCCTTCGGTACCAACGACGCTGCCGGGCTTGCGTGCAAAAGGCCGCCGGCTGCTCCGGGCGGTCGGTTCGAGTGGTTGGTATCAGGAACTGTTGCTGCTCGCGGGTTTCCACGCCTGGTACCCTTTGTTGATTGGCTTGTTCTGGTTGACTGGATGTGCCTTTTACTTGTTAGCGCGGTGCATTGCCAGCCGAGGGCCTTTGTGCTCGTATTGGTCATATGAACATCCCGATGGTGTGACAAGGTGTCCATTATGAGAACTTTGTTCCGAACTATTCCAACTGCAAATTGATCTCGCACGAACAAAAGGCCGCAACCGAGAATCGCTGCATATTCAAACCAGGGCAGGGCCAGAATTGTCCGAAGAGCTTGCAGCATAGATTGCGCACCGTGCCTCGCGTGCTCGTGCAGGTGATCAAAGATCGGTTGAAGGATCTTGGTTTTCAATTGGCTCCTCACTACCAGGGCAGAGCTGGTTGTCGAAAGTGTTTAATCTATACGAACTATAGTTATCATGAATATTATCTTTGTTCCTATCTTTGGTTTTCTCTCTTTTTCCTTTTGCTTTGTCTTGTTTGTTCTAGGTATCTTTCTCTTTTCCTTCCTTGTCTCTTTCGCCCTCTCTTCTCTTTCTCAGTCTTTCTCTTTCTCGGGGCTATTTGTCTATCTATCTGTTTGTGTGTCTGTCTATCTATCTAATCTAATCTAAATCTAATCTAATCTAATACCTATCTAATCTATCTATCTATTTGTCTGTCTGTCTGTCTGTCTATCTATCTATCTATCTATCCTATCTATCTATCTATCTAGTCTAATCTAATCAAAACAAATCTAATCTATCTACCTACCTATCTATCTATCTATCTCATCTAGCTTATCTAGCTCATCTAGCTCATCTATCTGTCTATCTGTCTTATCTTATCTTATCTTATCTTATCGTATCGTATCGTATCGTATCGTATCTTATGTTGTTGTTGTTACTTCTACTATGTTGTCTTGCCATCTGGTCTATCTATCTATCTAATCTAATCTAATCTAATCTAATCTAATCTAATCTAATCTAATCTAATCTATCCATCCATCCATCTATCTATCGATCTATCTATCTAGCTTATCTATCCGATTCTATCTATCTACATAATCTAAACTAATCTATTCTCTTGTATTATGATCTGTTCGATTTAATTGTCTAGTTACTTATCTCTCTAGCCGTCCATCCATTCATCTATCTTCTCATAGCGCTGCACCTGCCACAAAATATGCGCCTGACCTTGCGAAAGTTCTGTGCGTTCCACAATATCGGCACGTGGCAATTTGCACGTCCGTGTCGTTGGAGTCGCGAACAACGTATCCTAACATTGCGGAAAGTGTCATGTCATTCAGGTGTCCCAGTTCAGAGTGAAGAATTCATTGAAGATTCTGCAGATCACATATACCGTGGTTGAAACCCTTCTACTTGGATGTAGGGATAGTCATGGGCCCCTTCATAGGTAATTTGAAACGTTGTAAAGGTTCCTGCGAAGGGAGCCATAGCCATGACTGACACACGTGGTTTTGACCACACACAGAACGCCATTCGGCTGTCCGAGGACGGTGTACCCGTGCTTCCTGGGCGATCGGCCGCAGAAGGTGGTTGTGAAGGCCCAGAAGCCCTTGGGCAAGCAGGAGGCGGGTCTCCCTTGCAGATTTACACTTGCTGAAAACCCAGGTAGATGAAGGTAACGGATACTCCCAGCCACAAATCGTGGCCGGAAACCCTTTGATTTCCTTACACGGATTTGGGCAGGTCCATTGAATACTCATCGGTGTATTCCATGTGGCTCACCATGGAAGGGCAAGCGCCACGCGCGGCCGCCGAGTGCGCCGCAGGCCAACGAGGCGTGGCCTGACTTGGAGCGCGCGCTCTTCTTGCCCGACATCTTCGGCTTGCTGGGATCTGGAGCGCCTTTAGGTATCTTAGCAATTGGTGCCCGACCTCACCCGCTTTTTTTTTTGTGAGGGTTCCCCTACTAAAATAGACTACGAAAGAAAGAAAAAAAGGATACCCCGTTTTTGGTTCGGAGGTTTCCCCTACTAAAATAGACGTCCTGAAAAAAGTGGGTACCCTTATTCTAAGCTCTCTACTGGAGGACCTAGGCTTGGGCTTTTTGCCCTTGACCGGGAGGAAGCTGTCAGGAATGGTTCGGACAAGGGGTGCGTACGAGAAAGCCGCGAGACAGGAGTGGGTGCTGAATAGCCCAGATGAGCGAATTTCCGAAACCAGAGAAACAAACCGTCCTCTCACCCTCTAAGCATTCTTCGAGACTTGATGGTGTTCTTTGGCTGAAAGCCTTGCTGGGAGCCGGGTGTTCCATCCATTTTGTCTCTCAGTAGAAAAAGCCTCGGCCTCTCAGTCGCGCAGATGTTTTGCTGACATGAACACCCCCTTCGGCTCACAAAACGTTGGCTTCCCATGGATTCCATGGAGCCAGAGTTTGAGAGACCCAACCGAGGGGTCCTATGCTAGGCCAACCTGCAAGCCCAGGACACCGCAAAAAAAAACGCCTGGCAATATGGCGCCTTGACACGCGTACACACGGGTGGCTCTTTTTTTTAGTTGGTACCCCTGTTTTTTTGGAAAACCACCAGGAAAACCACAAGGAAACCGCAATTTCTAAAGGGTCCCCTTTTAAAAAAGACACGTACACGAACAGAGCCTCGACTTCAACACCCCAAAAGGTCGCGTTGATTCACCAGGAGGAGATGAGACCCGCATGACGCTGCTGCGACAGCTGTTGATCAGGCGGTCCGACGGTCCAAAGAGCTTTGAATGTAGATTGCCGTGAAATTCAGCTGGAACCAGCAGAAGACATCCGAACCAAAAAGGTTGCCTCCAAAATGAACTGTTTCTTTGGGGGTCCGTTCATTCGCAGGAGTGCGGCACTTGTTTGCTTGCAGTCCCAAAAGGAATTGGCTTGGGAACTATTTGCTTCCGGGCCTTCCCCAAAAGATTTCAAGCGGGAATTGAGAGCACCAGATTGATCCCGGGTGATGGTTGGTAACATCTGACGCTGGCCTTTTCGCATACACGGATACAAAAGATTTGTCCCAGGTGTCGGATTGAACGTTGACCACACCTCAGAGGAAACTACATGGGCTACTAAGCAGCCCCTACACAGAGCTCTTGTGGGAAAAGGTGATGTTTCACTCGTGCAATCCGAGTGCCAGGGAGTTTTGCTCTCTCCATGCTCACACGCTGCATCCCAATCCAGAAGTGGGACCCGGTCCACCTCTCTCAGCCGAGTGCAGGGGCTTGCCTCCAGACTTCAGCCGCGGCCGAAGATGATGGAGGGAGAGGGGAGGAAAACTGCAAAAAGCCTGGGATGATAGGTACCCCTTTGCGAAATGTGAAATGCCCAAAGAAAGTGTGCATATATAGATATGTGTATATATATATATATACACACACAATGAATTGATCCGTTATTTTAGCATTGATTCTGGTGAATGAAGGGGACAGTCAGAAGCCCATACATGATCAAAGAGAAATGATGGAATGTGCCGTTCTGGGCTTTGACCCGTTCAGTATGTCCTGGCCATTTGCACGTAAGCTAACCCATGTTTGTTTGACATGGTTTGTCGCTCTCTCTGTTTATCAGGTCTGTGATGATAAGTAGATGTTTGGGCAACCAATTAGAACATGACAAGGGACAGAGAGTCCTTCATTGGTTTTGCTGAGCTCCTAACAGATGGAAAGGCAATTGAATCGGATTCGATTTCCCTTTACTCTGGCGATCTCTTGCGCTGTCTTTGGAAAAGCTCTGTTTCCGACAATCAATTCTATGCAATCGTCCTTTTCACATCTGACATCCTACCTTCACGATGCCTTTTCAAATCTAGCCCCAATTCAACTTGCTGGTGCTCAGTAGGGTGAAAGGACCCCATAGCGGATGGTTTCTATTGATTATTCCCTCCTGCCTATCGCACCCCCCGTCAAATTGACTCGAAGCCATCCCCCAAGTTGACACCTGGGTTCATTCAACCACATTCCCTACCTACGTCCCCCAGTAGTGTGCTTTTACCCTTGTTTGGGAGGGTTCCCCTAGTAAAATAGACTGCAGAAAACAGGTACCCTTGTTCTATCCTCTCTACTGGAGGACCTAGCCATATTCCCTACCTATGGCACCCAAGACTTGAAACCATCCCCCGCAAGTTGACCCCTGGGTCTTCAACCACATTCCCTAGCTATGGCACCAGCCAGTGAAACCATCCCCCCAGAGCCTGCCCTTCAGCGTCTCCAAGCGCTGGGAAGTCCCGGACTTCGAGGCTTCCGTGGCCGGCCTTTGCTGCACCGCGCCTGCGAGCTGGGGCCTAAAAAGCTGCCGGGGGCGGGGGGAGGGAGTTTTGAGGGGTGCGAATTGGCACATGAGCTCATAGGTGAGCTGCTTAGGTGAGTTTGGTGAAAAACAGATGGGTTCCACTGGCTTAGATGGGGTTTACCAGGGTCCAAAAGCCCTTCCTGAGCAGGGTTGTGGGATCAAGGGGTTTTTCCCCACTTCTGTGATACAAGGGAATTCCCCTCTTTATATGGGGGGTAGTCTTTGGGAGGCCCTTTTTGTTGTATCACAGAAGTGGTCATTTCCCACAGCCCTGCACCTGAGCCACGTGCTCAAAACCGATTCGGGTAGATGAAGGTTAGGAAGGGCCAATCCTTGCCAAACATAGCTGCGGATATCTGCCTTCTTACTTCTTTACATGGTTCTGGGTTCAGCATTTTCAAACCGGGTTTTGATTGTGGCTCACATGGAGTGGTTGATTTGCAGGAAATCGAAAGTGGATGCATGAGTTGTTTTTATTTTCTCCCGGGCCCCCCCGTTATTAATTACCCAGATGAGGCAAAGTTGCTCGTGCCAGATGGCGCTGCCCTTGGGCAAGCTCCGAGATTGTTTGTTCCAATTCTTTGTTCATGATTTCTGGGATCACTCAACAGCTCTGGGGGCTGGGGGGCCCCTAAAATCTGTTCCCCCCTTCCCCTTCCCCTCTTCCCCCATTCCCCCCTAAGATCTTTTCCCTCATTTCCCCAAGATCTTTCCCCCCTCTCCCCCTGAACAAAAAAAGGAAAAGGGCGGGGTTTGCAAATCAAATCAGCACTGCGCCGAAATCGAACTGCGGCACCGCAGCAATGCGCCTTTGAGGTCAGGGGACCTCCCCTTGGTGGAGATGCTCTTCGCCTGTGGCGCCGACCTGCGCGGGACCCCGCTGTTTCGAGTGAGCACCAGCTTGGGCGATGGCTAGGTGCCCCAGCAATTGGTGCCCTTTCTCACCCACTTTTTTGGGGAGGGTTCCCCTAAAATAGACTACAGAAAAAAGGGCACCCTGATTCTAATCTCTACTGGAGGATCTAGTTTAGTTGCATGTTCTTTTGGGTTGCCTGTTGGCCTCCTTTTTGGGTTGAAAGAAACAAGTTGTGGCCAAGTTGCAAGCGAGGCGCCCAGAATGCTGGTGATGTTTTTTGCGGGTGTCCCAGTTCAGAGAGCTTGCCACACTCGTTTTGATTGAATTGATGCCAACATGAGGATACTAACCCTTTGCTATCGCATGAGTGATTTTCCACCAGCAAGAAACTACCTCTCAAGCAAGTGGAACTCCCATAGGAATGCTCCAAAGACCCCGCATCCATCTTAGATAGCGAAGTTCTTAAGATATCATTATTTGTGTACTTCACTAGGTCCCCCAGTAGTGCCCTTTTACCCTTTTTGGCTGGAGGGTTGCCCTACTAAAATAGACAGAGGAAAAATAAAAGTGGGTACCCTTATTCTAACCTCTCTCCTGAAGGACCTAGTTTCTTCCCCCAGAACTAGCCCCTTTGTGTTTGTTTTGCTTTTTGGGGGTCCCTTTGTGTTCTACCAACCAGGCAAAGAAATGATATATTTTTGCTGTCCTGATTCCAGCCTATGTTTAGCTTGGGACGTTGGGAGCCCCCAGCGTGGGCTCTTCCATGCAGTCGCACTTTTTGAGGCATGCCCGCGGCGGTGACGAGATGAGTTTGCCGATTGAGGCGAGTCTTTTTCTGATCCGGCACCGGCGGGTCCTGATCCAGCGGGTGATCCAGAAGGGGCCCCTCCCCTCGCAACAACCAGAAAGACCGTGCTTCACTTTGTCCATGGGCTCTTGGTATGTTGTCCACCACTCACATCAAGTTATTTGGGAAAACAGTGCTACAGCCCTGTCCAATGGTTAAACGGAGGAAATTGCCGAACCAAGACCCTGGCTGAGACTGCTGTGAGTTTTTTTCACTAGCCTTGTGCGTGAATGCGTGAGCTTTTCGCACATGCGTGAAGGAATGCTTATGTTGTCCACTACTCACATGAAGCCATTTGGGAAAACAGTGCTAAAGCCATGTCCAATGGTTAAAAAGCGCTATGACACATGCACTACTCTTGGTATTTGTGTTGCGTTTTTCTTCTTTGGTTCTGCTGGTTCTTGCAGGGTGGCCACTTGCAACGACCAAAGTTTTTTGCTACCAGGGGCTGGGAAGACATGTCTTCACTGAGGAAGATTCGTGGCAATGGCCAGAGGGCTGCAAAGAACAGACATGCTACGATACCAAGGGTTGTGAAGCTGTTTCTCCCTTTTACCAGGGACCAATTGTTTACTCTCGCGGCGATCAATTGGCGCATCTGGACTTGTGACGTAGCATTGCAGGTGGCAGCGTGGTGTGGGCAGCGGCAGATTCTGCGGCTGCTGCTGAGCAATGGCGGGGCATCGGTTCGTCCCCATTTGCTGAAATGAATAGTGTTTTTGTGTTTCTTCTTGGTTTTAAAGAGGATTTAGCACTACTGGACAGATTTTGGTTTTTGTTCAGGGGGCTAAAGCAAATGGAAGAAGATGCCCTGAGACTCATGGATGGACTCGGCTGGCGCTTCTTTTGAGGGGCTGGATTCAAGCACAGGTGCGGCGGACAAATATTGAACATGGTGTGGACACAACTCCTGATATTGCGGAGATGACCATACTCTGCTGGACTTGTTTCCAGCTCTTGTTGTTTCCATTTGTGTTTTCCGTGTGTTTCCCTTTGTTGCCTTTTGTGGGTTCTCTGTGTCGTCCCCCTTTGCCAGGCTCCTGCTTCGGTCGCTCGCTTCACCTGGCGGCCATGGCTGGCCAATTGGAGGCCGATCGCGTGCGAGCCAAGTCGATGGAAGGGGTGTGATGGCCAAGCCCTATGCTACATGGGGCCCCCAGCTGGGTGCCCTTTCTCACCCCTTTTTGGTTGGGAGAGTTCCCCTACAGAAATAGACTACAGAACAAAAGCCCTTATTCTATCCTCTCTACTGGACCTAGGCTGCATGGGGGCTGTTCTAAATACCAATCTCAAGTTTCATGTAAAGGCTGGGAGTACGACACGGGACGAATGCCTGAGTCTTGCGTGGCCTGGCCCTTCTTAGCACGCGACAACAGGTCGAGAAGCTTGAGCAAGTTGAGAAGGGCTAATTCGCAAAAGGAATGCGCAATTAAAGGAATGCGCAATTGATTTGTTGTTTGTTTACACGTTCTTTGCAACTGGGATATCTAAAACACAATCCTTCTCTCCCTTGCTATTCAAAAGCGAAGCTTCTTGCCAATACCTGACTTCAAAGTCAGATTGGACAGAGTCAGTGCGACGTGGCTGTTTCGACCCTGCCATAGACACCTACAACAAAACTTGGGATCCATGAGTCAGGCTCGCTGGGGTGCAACGTCTCAAACAGGAGAAGGAACGGGTCCCAAACTCAGGTTCCTCCTGGTTTACCTGAAAAAATAAAACCAACCAGAAGGGGAGGTCACTTTTCCCTAGGTCCCCCAGTCGTGCCCTTTTACCCCTTTTTTTGGGGGGAGGCTTCCCCCACTAAAATCGACGTCCAGGAAAAAGAAACGGTACCCTTATTCTAACCTCTCAAATCTGGAGGACCCAGAGGTGGCCTTTTTTTGCGAAGTCCGAAGCCCACGGAGTTTCCAAAAGGACCCCTAAGCTTGGCTTCAAAGTGAGTGCGACTCCAAATTCATGGAAGTGTCCTCCTCTAGGTCCCCCAGCAATTGGTGCCCTTTCTCACCGCTTTGTTTGGTTGGGAGGGTTCCCCAAAATAGGAAAAAACATGGGGTGCCCTTGTTCTAAGCTCTCTACTGGAGGACCTAGTCTTGTACAGAAAAACAGGGCACCCTTATTCTAACCTCTCTACTGGAGGTCCCTTTTCTCTGTTGGACTCCAAATTCATAGAAGTGTCCTCCTTCAATTGCTCCAAAGTCCCACCAAGCCCTCGCAAGGTGGCGCAGGCCTTGCTCGCCGCCAGCTGCCCTCCCTTCGTGCGGGTGGAGGGAATCACCGCACTGGACTTGGCCATTGCCGCGTGTCAGGCGAGCGCCGAAACGTCGCGCCACAACAATGCGTTTTTTGAGGTTGGTATGCTTCCATTTGCTGAAGAATATGGCCATGGGTCAAAATCCAAATCGTACCCGCAGTGAACATCCCAATCCAACCACTAAAAGACTAGACTGGGTGGTGCACCTAGCCCAAAATGGTACCATTGGTTTTGACCCACAGCCATATCTGTGTGTAGGGAATCTATTACTACTGGAAATGTGTGTGTGTGTGGTTTTTTCCAGTGGACTTAAGCAAATGGGAGTATGGAACCGGCTTTCTGAGTGGTTCGGTGTTGCTGTTTGTTTGGGACTGTAAAAAGCCTTAGTGCATCCGCGGAGATCTCGAGCATGGGCGTTGCACCCTCTCAAGCGCGGGAAAAAAACAACGTGGAACCCACGGATTCCTCAGAAACGAGTAGACCACAGGAATTACCAAGGGCCATGTAAGGAGTTTTGACACAGGCAATACGAGTAGCTGACAATTCATTGCTGTTCTGCGATTGGTTTGGAAGGCGAGCGGCGCCCAAAGTTCTTACGAGAACCGGGTGGCGTCTTGCGCGGCGCAGGCTCAGGACTCTCTCTGTCCATACCAGCCCAGCAACCACGCGATGGCGGCGCGTCGAAAGTACGCGGACAACTAGCACGCCCCAATTGTGCTATGTCCTCTTGGGGCAAGTGATTTCCCTTTTGGAAGGAGCAAGCGTTGCAGTTTCAATCTACGCAGACCACCCCCGCTATTCCTCATGGGTTTCAAGGGCGCCCCCAAACCCCATGGAGGAATGCTTAAGCCCCCAAGATCGAGGGTTTAAACCCTTCCGGGGGCAATATCCCTGAGCCCCGTCGATTCCCCATGATTCCTCCATTTCACAGGTTTCCTGAATGAATCAAGGGTGACTCATTCACCCATAATCCAGGTGGTCATACCCAAAGGGACGCAAACCGAAAAATTGGCCTACGGTCCTCGACTCGATTCGCTCCAGACCGGGATCGTGACCTTGCTGCTGCAGAACCCCGCCTTGCTGAAAGCAAACGCTGGGGCCGAGGAGAAGCTCTCCTCACAGGCAGATCTGAGGAATGGATTGGGCGGGGGGGGAAGCGGAGAGCACACTGTAAGCGTGCTAAATAAGAACAAACATGGGTTTATTATCATTGACGTAGACTTGGTTGAATAAGTACCCCTCTCAATCCTGTTCCAACCATTGTAGGCCTTTGTCCCCACTTTCAGTGATGCTATTTTGGTTCCCCACTAAGATTGGAATCAAGCTGTCCGCTCCCCCCCCCCCCTCAAAAAAGGAGAAAAAACATGGATCCTACTCTCTCTCTCTCTCTCTCTCTGCCGCAGGAGTCACTAGTTGCAGCCAACCAGGCTGGAGATATCCTGAAGTACAAAAGAGAAATATGTGGAAACAGTAGAAAGTATATTGAAAGTCCAGCGGAACATCTTGTTTGCAACTGGTTGCAACTTTCAAATCAGTTGGAAAATCCAGTGGAAAGTATGGTGGATGGACAAAAGATCCTGCACCACCTAAGAAACCCTGGGAAAATGATTGCTCTGTAAATACCAGTACCAGCAAACAATGGTTTCCCGTGGTTTCAAAGTGGTGCGAAATGGATTTCGCCACCATCCACAGTAATAGGTGCATTTTGCTTGGATGTTAGGACTTCAATTTTTTGCCAACTAATGGGTTTTCCGTATTAAACCACTAAAAGTTAGTCACTTTTAGCAGGGGAGCAGATTTCGCAATGGTGGCAACTGGTGTCCAAACCCCGGAAGATCTGCGCCTATCGCCTCAGGCCATTGGCCGCTGGGGGTTGCAGGCTCGCAGCCGACGCTTGCACCTGGCGGCCAAGCTGGGCGGACCCAGAGGCCTGTGCCCTTGAAGGTTTTTGCTGGGTCCAGGTGCCCTTGGAGCCCTTTTTCCATGGTTGTCATGGTATTTACTGACTGTGAGGACTTGTCAGTCTGTCATGTAAGTCAGTCAGTCTTTTATAGGTTGTCATGGTTATCATGGTTGTTGGGAATGTGAAGCCTTGGGAGGAGAAACGGTCACAGTGACCCTCTCATGCCCTCAAAACCCCTGCGACCACTGTTGCCATGGCTGTTGTTGGGAAACATTGTTCATTGTTGCTTATTGTGGTTTAGTGGTTAAAATCCCCACTTGACTGCTAAAATTTAGACTCTGCTCCCCTTCCAACGTCAAGTTGCAATCGTAGTTATCAACGTCCTAGATACGCCATGGTCAGCTTTCTGGGGGTTTCCGGGGAGGTCCCGTGTCGGGGATACTCCTCAAGGGAGGGTCTACCGTTTGTGACTCTGGTCTGGGCAGGCTCAAGGCAGTTTGTTGTGCGTTCACTGGAAAATCAAACCTGTTGCAAGGTGTGGCCGCTTAGAGGGGGGCCTAAATCATTTGTTGGAGAAGCACCCCCAGAACAATCCTTTGACTAAATACCAGCCAAGACCGGCATGTTTTGAGGGTTAGGGTATGCTCAAAACTTGCTGGCTGATTCTCTTGCGCTATCCCCAGCTGCATTCCCAAAAACACCCAACTGAGAACCACCACTAGGTCCCAGTAGTGCCCTTTCTCACCCCGTTTTTGGTTGGGAGGGTTCCCCTACTAAAATAGACAACAGAAAAAAGTTGGTACCCTTATTCTAACCTCTCTACTGGAGGATCTAGACCAAGAAAAGTATGGAGGCTCCCAGCCAGGCGCCATCCTGGACGCGCTGCTGGATCAGGGGGGCGAGGGCAAGCAGAAGGAATGGTGGGCGGTGCTGGAAACGGAGGACTCGCGGACGCTGGCTAGCCGTTTCGGGCGGTTCTTTCCTTTTTTTTGCAGGGGATCATGGTTGTTGTTGGGAAACACTTTACATTTTTGCTTGTTGTGGCTGAGTGGTGAAAATCCAACCACTCAACCGCTAAAGTTTAAATTTGTGCTCCCCTTCCAACGTCAACCAAGGGATCCTTGCTGGACTTGGTCGCGCTTGATCCGTAGAGCCACGAACCCCCACATGGGAGGTTCTAAGGGTGGACGACCTTAATGAACTATCCACGAGGGTCTCTTGCGGCGTGTGCCTTGGGCCTCGTTGGCCTCGTGGGCCTCAAGATGGTGCATACAACCTGAATGTGGCAGCAATTCGATTTCATACCTTGTCGTTCAATGCCCCAAATGACATTTTCGAGATCCTACAAGCCGCGTGTTAAGGCCTTATTTGGCTTAGGAAAAAATAAGCTCAGGTGATATCCCCAACAGCATGCGGTGCGCTTTTCAGTGCTCCCACCACCCCGCAGCCCTCGCAGAACCTCGTGGAACCCTGGTGGAACCCTCATGGAAGCTTACCTCAGGGCCGCCCCGGACCACCCCGGAGCCTATCTGGGCTGAGACCCCAAAGCTTTCATCTGTTGGGGAAAAAACTGATAGAAGCCACGAACCCGAATGCAAAAGATGGCCTTGGGAATGTGCATTTCGTCAACTCGAGCAATGTTGTCCAGCTGGAACCATGTTTTGAGCGACGCTTTTGAGCTTCTGACCGACCGTTCAACCGACACCTCTAAATATTCTTCAACGCAACACTCGTAAGTGGCTTTTGTCACTGACATTTTTGAGAGACGCTTCTGAGCAAGAGCTTGAGCAAGGGCGACACTTCTGAACACACTTACAAGCGATATTTCGAATTACGCTCCTAAGCGACACCTCTGATTGACACATCTAAGCGTCATGCGACAATCCTGAAGCCATAGTTCTGAGCGACAAACTACGGCAAACTGAGCGACACCTCTACACACACATAAGCGACACTTCTGAGCAACACTTCAAGTGACACTTTTACACTTTACACACACACACATACACGTAAGCGACGCTTCTGAGCGACACTCCTGAGCGACGGTTCGGGCAACATTCCTACACGCATATCTGAGCGACACTTTTGAGCGACACTCCTGAGCAACATTGGTGTCCGACACGTCTGAGCAACACTTCCAAGCAACACTTCTGAGCGACACTTCTGAGCGACACTTTATGAGCGACACTTCTGATCCACATGCACTTCAACACGCACATCAGCAACACTCCTGGGCGACACTCCTAAGCGACGCTTCGAGCGACACTTCTACACACAAATTTGCGTGAGCGGCACTTCTGGGTGACGCTGCTGAGCGACACTGCTGAGCAACACCTCTGAGCGACACTTCTGAGCGACACTTCTGAACACATCTGATCGACACTTTGATCGACACTTCTGAGCAACACTTCGATCCGAGCAACGCTTCTGATCGACACTTCTGAGCAACACTTCTGACCGACACTTCTGAGCAACACTTCTGATCGACGCTTCTGAGCAACACCTCTGATCGACACTTCTGAGCGACACTTCTGAGCGACACTTTATGAGCGACACTTCTGAGCCACATGCACTTCAACACGCACATCAGCAACACTCCTGGGCGACACTCCCACGCGACGATTCGAGCGACACTTCTACACTCAAATATACACCTCTGAGCGACACTTCTGAGTGACGCTGCTGAGCGACACTGCTGAGCAACACCTCTGAGCGACACTTCTGAGCGACACTTCTGAGCGTCACTTCTGAGCAACACGTCTGATCGACACTTTGATCGACACTTCTGAGCAACACTTCGATCCGAGCAACGCTTCTGATCGACACTTCTGAGCAACACTTCTGACCGACATTTCTGAGCAACACTTCTGATCGACGCTTCTGAGCAACACCTCTGATCGACACTTCTGAGCGACACTTCTGAGCGACAATTCTGATCGAGACATCTGAGCAACGCTTCTATTTGACATTTCTGAGCCACACTTCTCAGCAGCACTTTTGAACAACACTTCTGACCAGCACTTCTGATCTGCACTGCTCTTCGACGCTTCTGACCTATCGACACTCCTGATCGAAACTTCTGAGCGACGCGACACTTCTGAGCGACACTTCTGACAACACCTGTGCGCGATTCTGAGCCACACTTCTACACACACACAAGCGACACTCTGAGCGACACTTCTGAGCAACACTTCCCAGCGCAGCGACAGTTCTGAGCAAAGCTTCTGAGCAACACTTCTGAGCAACACTCGTGATCGACACTGCTGATCGACACTCCGAGCGACACTTTTGAGCAACACTCACAGCTAACCGACGCTTCTGAGCAACACTTCTGAGCAACACCTCGGATCGGCACTGCTGATCGACGCTTCTGACCAACACCTGTGATCGACGCTTCTGATCGACACTTCTTTTCGCGCACACACACATAAGCGACACTTCTGAGCAACACTTCTCAGCGACGCGACACTTCTGAGCAACACTCCTGATCGATACTGCTGATCGACACTCTGAGCGACACTTCTGAGCAACACTCCCTGCTGACCGACACTTTTGAACAACACTTCTGAGCAACGCTTCTGATCGACACTTCTGGGTGACAACTCTGAGCAACACCTCCGACTTCTGAGCAACACTTCTGAGCGACGCTGCTGTGAGCAACACTTCTGATCGACAGTTGCGATCGACACTTTTGAGCAACGCTTCTGATTGACACTTCTGAGCAACACTTCTGATCGACACTTCTGAGCGACACTGCTGGTCGACACTTCTGATCGACACATGTGCTCGACAACTCTGATCGACTCTTCTGAGCAGCATTTCCAAGCGACGCGACGCAACATTGCGGATCGACACGTCTGCTCGGCACTTCTGACCGATGAGAAGCACTGCTGATCGACATTTCCGAGCAACACTCCTGAGCAAAACTTCTGATCAACACTTCTGATCGACACTTCTGAGCAACGCTTCTATTTGACATTTCTGAGCCACACATCTGAGCGATGCGACACTTCTGAGCAAGACTTTTAAGCAACACTTCTGATCGATACTGCTGATCGACACTTCAGATTAACACCTCTGAGCAACGCGACTCTTCTGAGCAACACTTTTGGGCAGCACTGCTGACCGACACTTCTGAGCGACACTTCCGAGAAATGCAGCTTTTCGCGTCTCTTGCCACGTCTCCTGTCTTAATGAGCACTACTGATCGAAACTTGCGATCGACACTTCTGATCGACACTTCGGAACAACACTTCTGATTGACACTTCAGATTCGCACTTCTGATCGTCTCTCTCTCTCTCTCTCTTGACTCTCTTCACGCCCTCTCTCTCTCTCCAGACTTCTATAATCGACACTTCTGAGCAACACTTCTGATCGACACGTCTGAACAACTGAACGACGCTTCTGAACGACACTTCTGAACGACACTTCTGATCGACACTTCTAATCGACACTTCTAATCGACACTTCTAATGGACACTCCTGATTTAACGACACTTCTGTCTCCAAATGCGCACCGCGCCACAGAGAGCGATTCGACCCACCCAAAAGTGCGCAGAGGGTTGACTTCGCATGCCCAAAATGCGCACCGCACCACAGCGAGAGCGATTCGACCCACACAAAGTGCGCAGAGGGTTCACTTCGCGTTCTGCGCCACAGCCAGGCGCCAAAGTACTGCACCTGCCACAAAATTTGCACGAAAAGCTCCAAAGTGTTGCGCCTGCCAAGAAATTCAACCAAAACGCTCGAAAGTGCTGCGCCTGTCACGCAAAGTAAGCTTGCCACGAACTCAAAATCGTCCAAACTGCTGCGCCTGCCACGAAATCCAACTTTGGCACGCATCCAAAACTAGCGCGGGACTGTGGCGCCAGAATGATTTTGACCAGTTTGAACACGTTTCAAGCTCGCCAAAACGAGCCGATTGTACAACAGAGCCAACGAAAAGGACGCCGGCGCAAACACTATCACGCGCCTGCCAAGCAGGACACCGCAAACCGACCACCCCTGGAACGCAAATCCTGATGGCACGGCAACGAGAACCCGCGGCCTTCCAAAAGCTTGCGCCTGCGCAGCGAAATAACACGCAACGCTGCAACAGACACGATTCATGCACGGGCACTACGAATTCAGCGCTTCAAGACTCATCGAAAAGTCACTCCGGATGCTCGCGGACGCTTTCGAAAGCTTGCGGACGCTTGCGGAAGCTTGCGGACGCTTTCGGCCACACGCGAGCCGACCAGCGAACACAACCTTACCCCCAGACCCCACTTAATAACGGGAACCCGTCGCTACGCATTCGGGAAAAACAACGGCTTATTGGCATATAGCACGGCTTATGAACTCTTTTTTGGAAAGACGGTCTGTAGGGTGCCTAGTTGAAACTGGACACGCTAGGGGCCACGGCGATCCGAAAAAGTGCTGATTCTTCTGAAAACGAACTGAACACCTACTCAAAGGGGCGATTGGGTACGTCCGGTGGTTAGCACTCCTGAATCTAACCGGAGATGGTTAGCACCCCTGGTTCTAACCGGAGACTTCTTGTGGGTGGATGAAATCCTGCACCACTTTGAAACCACGGGAAGCCATTGTTGGTTGGTATTTACAAGGGCATCATGATTTCCAGGTTTCTCAGGCGGTGCGAAATGAATTTCGCAACCATCCACAGTATGACCATGGCTTTCGTGAGTTACCAGGCGAAGTTACTTGCCTCTTCTTCCCCGATCGCCAGTGGCTCATCTAGGTCGCCCAGTAGTGCCCGCTTACCGATTTTTTTTGGTTGGGAGGGTTCCCCTACTAAAATAGACAAAACAAGTACCAACTTCTAACCTCTTTACTGGAGAACCTGGTCATGGCAGGACGGCCAGTCCCCGCTGGACGTCGCCGCGCTGCCGGCGAGGCTGCAGCTGAGGCCATCCTGCACGGACATTTGGCGCCGGCCTCGGGGCCATCCGGGGCGATCGCTTGGAGTCAGACCTCGAGTGGGGATATGTTCATGCATTGTCCTTGGTTTTTTGTGGGGTTCCATTTGCTGAAATGAAGTTGTTTTCTCAGTTTCTCCTGGGTTTAAAGGAAATCGATGTCACTACAGCAAAGATGTCCTCATTTTTTCCAGCGGACGTAAGCAATGGAGTGGGGGATCCCTTGAAAGTCAGCTACCAAAGATGGGTGGAGGTCTGGGTTTTTATCTTAGACCGTTCGCTTGAAGGTAAAGTTAGACCCGTAAAAGTTCCGCTGTCGGCCATGAATCTTTGTTTCCTGGGGGCAAAAAAAACCAAACGCTAGATTCAAGTGTTCCCCGGAAATGCGGGGCACCCTGCTGGATCTGGGGATTTTACAAGGCCTGGCTTGCCCAATGCAAATCAGCCTGGCAATTGCTTGAGTCTCCAATGCCGTGGTCCGTTCTCGGGCTCCTTTGGGCAAGCCAGCCCTCCAGAATTCCCATGAATGAGCTATACTAGGTCCCCCAGTGGTGCCCTTTTACCCTTTTTTTGGGGGAGGGTTCCCCTAGTAAAATTGACTGCAGAAAAAAAGGGTACCCTTATTCTAACCTCTCTACTGGAGGACCTAGATAAGTATAGTGGGTATTGTTTAGAGATTGCTTCGGGCAATGCTCTTTGACACCAGTGTCAACTTCGGACTTGTCCGGAGGACACAAGACAAGGGTGGCGACCCTTTCAGCGGAGGACTCGTCCATGTTCGCAGGGGTTCCTCTGAATGAACAACAGATCCTCATGTGGCTGTGGGTCACAACCAATGGTACCATTTTGGGGTAGGTGAATTCACCACCCATTTTAGTCTATAGTTGGGATTGGGATGTTCACTGGGGGTACGATTTGGCGTTTGACCCATGGCCATATCCCCTGGGTCGCACCGTTTCGGGCCTGAGGTCCTTGCTGCTGCGGCACTGGTCCGATGAGACCCTGGAGCCGCAAGTGCGCGCACTTCTGGAGGCCAAAGCGGACCCGACGCCCGGCGAAAATCGGAGAAGAAGCGATGCGGGAGGGCTCCTTAAAAGATACATGTTGCCCGTTTGAAACCAAAGCCAAGGTATGACCTATTGGTGAAAATTTGACACACGTTGCTTTTTCAACAAACTAAAGTTGGACACCACCATTTACAAGTTGCAATGTTCAGGTGTAGAATGCATCCGGATCCCTGCTTGAGCGTTTTAGCGTCTCCTGGGTTTGGAGCGTGTGGGAGGTTTCCCGGCTCTGGAAGGTTCCTTGAAGCACTATTCCTTGAGCATGCTTCGGAAATTCAACCCAGTGTTGACCCTTTGCGGATTAACAGGGATGCGAGGCCAACATCTCCTTTCACCGTGGGACATCCATCATTCAGCGGGTGCTAATCCTAGGCTCTCATTTCTCAGGCCATAAGTTGATTGCAAGTGGTTCACTCCAAAGCCGACCTTTCCACCTTTTGGTTTTCCCTCTTCTACTTTTTGTCTTAGCACTGGGCAGGTGGGGTGGGGCAACGGGTGACTCTCCTACCATGATAGCCTATGGAGTTCGACAGAATTCGCGTTCTGTGATCCACGAGAGTACCCCTAAAGTGAGATTCGGGCTGAAAGCTCTGGTATCGCAGGTGTGGCCTTGTAGCCAAAGCGCTGCCATTCACCCACCAACCAACGAACCAGCCAACCAACCAACTAACATGGCTTTCCCTGAGTCCCCCCAAACATCTCCCAGGTGGCATTGATTTGGCTTTTTGCCTGGTTGTGACCAAAAGCTGGCTAGGCCGCATTCTCTTTTTTTTTGGGCGGGGGGTGTGTGTTTGACGTTTTGCAGGGTCACACCGTCACCCATCCAACTCGCTACTCGGTTTCAGTCATTGGGCTTTGAGATTTGGGGGGGGTTCGGACGGAGTCGAAGCAAGGATCTGTGAGAATGGTAAAAAGCTTTCCCAGACTGTTCTGAGTTGTAATCCAAACTTTGACTTGAGCCAAACATTCATTTGTGTGCGTGTTTCTTGGCCACTGGTTGGCTGAGAAGATCATGTGTTCATGTGTTTGCCCTGGAACCAGTGGGTTGGAGGGAAACCAAAACACGCATTGAACAAGATGCTGGTTTGAACTTGTGGGCATTCTTCAATGCTACCCCCCTCTTGGGGGTAGACTTGGATACATTTTACATTTTACCAGTGACTCAAAGTGAAGCAAGCAATGGAATATACATTTGCTAACTGGGCCCAAGTCTAATCATGCGCCTCAAGGTGATTGTCTTCTTGTTGATTCGTTCTCTTGCAAAAAGGAGGACACATCGAAAAAGGGTGCAGGGAAACGCGCTCGCTGTCCAATCAAAGATCCCGGGCTCAACCAGGCTGCGATCTGTTATGTCGTTGAGTGGTTCTCCGGCTTTGGTCACTTCCTGGATGAATCCCAAGGACACTTGACCTTCCTCCCACTTTTGGGTGCCTTTAAAGTGCAGGTGATTGCGAAGTATGCCAAACTTATCCCAAAGAATGCGTTGCGAAAGGCACGACTCTGGACCCTTCATCTTTCTTGTGTTTATGTTTCGGGCAGCGCGAACCCCACCTTTGAAGCCGGCCAAGCTTCTCCCTCAACATTCGAGGAAATATTGGGATGACTTTCAGATTGAAACGGGTCCTCTTGGCAAAAGGAACCTCCCTCACTTCCTGAGTTCCTGGACTAGCTTCTTGGGAAGACCAAATTTTCGTGGTAGACCAAAAAAGTCTGGTTACGTTTTGGACCAAATCCCCGGAAGTGAGCTCCTGAACGTGGTAGCTGGCTTTCTTCTGAGGAAGTGTGCGGGGGCGGCCGGCTGGACGCCGCTGCTGCTTTGCGCCATGGCGGACAGGCATCGAAGGGATCCGGTTTTTGTTGAGAGGTCACTACCCAAAACGTGCTGGTTCTTTGCAGGGAAAGAGTTCGGGGTATTGGGAATGAACCGGAAGGAACCGGATCCCCTTCAAGGAAACCACAGGGAGTTGTTCTCTTTTGGGGGTCATATTCCCAATCTCACTGAGCCCTGGAAGAGGCACTTGATCCACGCTCGCCCCGTGACCCCTGAACTGTACCGCTCTTGGGTTGGATGTTTGGACTTTAACTTTTTGGATTCCCTTCATAGTTCCTTTCAACCAGCAAAAGGTTAAACTGTTTGCTGGGGGATCCACAGCACCCAAGTGAAGTTCCCGGACTTTCTGCGTCCAAATACTGAAAATGTGATTGGGAACCTCCCGGCTTTTTCATTCGAGGGGCGATGCAGGGTTCATAAAGTATGGAATTGGAGGTTGTCAAAACTAGGTCGCATGTTCGACGCCAACCGCCTTGTGATCTTCAATGGTTCGGGGGTGATCTTTGCAGAGGAAATGCAACAGATTTACCTGTGGGGCAAGTTAAGGCAACCTCATGATGAAAGCATTTTTTTGGGGGACTATATATTTCACGAACCCCTGATGTGTTATTTTTTGCCGGGACTTTTGGTTGATTTTCATTTGGGCGGGGTGATGGTTGAAAAGGAGAAGTGCGGCCTGCTTCCCCCAGCTGTTTCAAGTACTAGGTCCCCCTAGGTGCCCTTTCTCGCCCCTTTCTTGGTTGGGAGGGCTCCCTAAAATAGACCACAGGGAAAAAGTGGGTACCAACTTATTCTACCCTCTCTGGAGGACCTTATGTCAACATCTTCAGATCCAGTTCGGCTACCAAGGAAACCTCTAGCAATCAACTGGCCTTCGGTGTATCTGGCTGCCAACTGGATGTGTCTTGGTTTCCGATTGAATCGGTTAGCCCTGTCACTGTTCTGGGGATCGTCCAGGAAACACAGCAAGACCGCTTCAGCTGAAGCCTTGAGACCAAAGAGCCAATTGGTGTGTGGTGTTGCTCTGTCTACATGCGTGTATATGCGTGTGTGTGTGTGTGTGTGTGTGTGTGTGCGTGTGTGTGTGTGGGTTGGATCTGTATTTTGATTTGTTTCCGTGGTGATTGCACGAATACGCAGTTCTTGAACTTCAGTCACTGTTTGGGTTTGGACCTGTTTGCTCAATAAACAGTTGTCCGACTTTGTCTGGCCATCTTAACAAGGTTTAATGAGAGATTAGCATAAGGGTACCCTTTTTTTCTGTAGTCTATTTTAGTAGGGGAACCCTCCCAACCAAAAAAATCGGTGAGAAAGGGCACCAATCGCTGGGGGAAGGTGACCTTTGGCCAATCAAAAGGTTCGAGTGGATCTTCGGCTCCACTCGATCGGAAAATGTCTCTTGTGGCCAGGCGCGAGCTGTGCCAGTTGCTGCTGCAATTCGGCGCCGATCCATTTCAGGCCATCCGGTGCGTGGCGTAAGCTGGCCAATGGGTTACTGGCATTTGGAGCTTTAAACTGGGTAAACCAGCGCCCTTTTACCGAATTCGTTTTGGTTGGGAGGCTTCCCCTACTAAAATAGACTACAGAAAAAGTTGGTACCCGTATTCTAACCTCTCTAGAGCAGGACGTAGACCACCATTTTTGAGTCGAGTGTAAAGTGTAAGTAAGAGCTCTTGTTTCCTCAAGGGTTCTGTTGATTCGTGGGATGCCCAACTTGTCCCAAGAGTGAAAGAGTTCCTGGCATGACTTTGCAGTAAGCTAGTCATGAGCCATTGGCATGCTGGCAAATTGAGCCAGTGGGCCCTTGAATATGTGAATTTTCTGCGTGTACTGGACCATGAACCGGGAGCAGATGTTGCATGAGCCCGGGCGTATCTTGGGCCGCTTTTTGCAAAGTGTGGGAAAACTGGGTTGGTTTCTGGTTCCACCAAAGTAAGCGTTTCTGGAGGGGGGGGGGAATGACAAAAGTTTCCCAGCCAGCAAGTGGTTTCCATCGGTCACCTGCCTCAAAGCCGCGTCTTTTGGAAACGATTTGACACAGAGCGCGCTTTCCCAATCTGGCAAGGGTTGTCCTTACCAAGGTCAGGCACCCCCCCAATGCTGACCTCTATCCCTGAAGGGAAAGCGGACCCTTCTAAATGCCACTGCCAAAATCACGGCGTCCCATTCAGCACTCGATTCAACAAAACAGCATATGGAAATTTCTGCGCGCTCCTAAGCTCGTGGGGTTTGGAGATTTGAAGGCCAAATCTGTGTGTGTGTGTATATATTTTTTCTGCCCAAGAAGGCGTCAAAAGGCAAAGAAGAATCCTGGCCTAGGTCCGGCAGGTTTCGCGTCGAAGGTCGGGTGCTTGCGGCCAGCGCAAGAGATGCTCAAAGCAGTAGAGAGGGCTAAGTGCTAAGATTGTGAACTGCTTCTGCGGATTTGCTTCGGGCTTAAGCGAGATTGTCCCTAGGACTGGCTGACTTCACAAACCTAGCCTAGTTGCAAATGGCAACCATGTCCGCTCTGGAATGGCTGATCGAGTGCGTTTGATGTCAGTGTAAAGTCTGCGAGTCCCAGTGTCCCTGCGATCTACACGCGACTCTGCCAAACATAAAGGCGCGCGCGCAGAGACGAGCGCGTGCACGCGCATGCACAGAAGCCATGACGCACCAACACGGTGTTCTTTCGAGTTTTGGAGCCACTTGCGTAATAAAATGCAGCGAGGTGGCGACGTCCGCAAAATTTCAGTGGCACTTCGAATACTAGGTCCCCCAGTAGTTCCCTTTCTCACCCTTTTTTTGGCTGGGAGGGTTGACCTACTAAAATACACTACAGAAAAAAGAGTGGTACCAACTTATTCTAACCTCTCTACTGGACCTAGTCGATGCAGGCCATCTAAATCTGCGTCCGCTTGGTCTGGCAGGCGGGACCGCGCGGCCGGACAGCCATGCTATGGGCAGACTGGTGCCTCGGCGCAACTCACTGGCCATTTGGTTCTGCTATGTTCTCCCTTTTCTCGGAGGGAGGCTTCTAGTGAAACACCGATGTTGTTTTTCCTGGCCACTTGAGGTCTGATTGAAAAGTATGCCTACCAGCTGTCGCATTCTTTTTCAAAAAAGTGGGAGGCTTCAGTTTCCCCGAGCAACTCAAGTCAAAGGGCTTTCCCAAGCGCCTCGAAGCCTTCCCTCTCTTCAGCCTTCGCCCCTTCACCCCCCTTCACCCCCCCTTCTGCTGCGCAAAAAAAAGAAACAGAAGAAGAAAAAAAGGAAGAAAAACTTCACCCCTCCTTCGGCTCCGGGAGAAAAGAAAGACAAGAAAAAAGAGCTTCCGGCGGCGCGTTGAGCCTTCGGGCCTTCGGGCCTTCGGGCCTTCGTCCGTCGGGGGGCCCGAGGTACAACGCCAGCGGCGCCCTGGCGCTGCTGAAGACGGAGGGCCGCCGGGAGCGGAAGGACGACCGCGAGGGGCTGAAGCGGCTCCAGACCGCCTCCAAGGCCGCTAAGGGTGGCCGGAGAGATCTGGCCGCTCAAAACCGTTTTGTTTTCTTCTGATTTTGGTTGGGATTGGTGAATGCACCCATTGTGGAACCTTTTTTTGGGGGATCGAGATGTTCACTGGGGGTACGATTTGGATTTTGACCCATGGCCATCTCAGCTTTGTTGCATGTTGCCAAGGGATGTTAGGACTAACTTTTTGCCAACCCATGCGAATGGGTGGGTTTCTAAGGGGTCTTTTTCTGAGCGGAAGGCTAAAGGTCAGAAAAGTCTGGCATGCTTTTCGAACCATTTGCTGAAGTGAATATGAGTCTTGCCTTTTTCCTGGTTGGGTTTGAAGGGGATCGATTTCACTGCTGGAAGTATGTTGATATTTGTTCAGGGAGCTGCAAGGTTTGATGGAAATCTCTTTATGGCCATGTGGGATTCCTGAACCTGGGGGTCCTGATCTCTATGGAATGGTCTTTGGGGTTCTTGAACTTTCTGCCTATTTAACTTTAGCTTTAGAAGTGAAACCGTTTTGCAGAGGGGTCATTACAGCAGATGTGTGTTCTTGTTCCGAAGCCAGACATGGCATCAAGCCCAGGGCTCCAATTCTTTCGTTATCTACCAGAAGCGGACTACCATGGGGCCTTGAATGAGGGAAGGAGCTTAAAAGAAAGGGGAGTCAACTTAAAGAGGTGCTCCCGGTGTCCACTTTTGCGACCGGAAACCTTTTGTCAGCTGGTTGTGCGACCGGGTCAAAATCCCTTTCTTGAGAAGCCCTTTTTTGTGCTGCGTCGGTTGATTTGCACAAACTCTTTCAACGAGCTTGTCACCGGAATCCGCTTGAAAGTGGAATCACACTTTGGTATCGCAGAAACTCATGCTTTGAATGATAAAGAGCCTGAAAGACAAGCAAGTTCAAAGTTCTCTTCCTGGGTGTCAAATAGCGCCACCCGGATCTCTGAATCGTGTGGCGATGTGCTGCACTTTGCACCCAGCTTGGTAGCCAGAGCCTCTAGGTCTCACTCCCCCCGAGTTCATGGGCTTGTTACTCTTTGGGCTTGGACCATTTCAGTGGACAACAAAAGTTTGGACATCTTATTTGTTGGCCCATCCACTCAAGTGAGATGTTTTTCGTAAACAAAAGAAGTGTTGGGCTCCCTTTTTGGTGACCCATCCACACGTGGTTAGCTCAAGGCCGCTTTTTCGCGCAGGATGAGCTGGCCGCCCCCTTGGTGGCGCCCTTGGCCCCCGAGGAGCTGCCAGTGGCCATGGGCTTCCCAGGCGCCGAGTTTTTTTCGGCGGCGTAACGGGGGGGTCGTGGGTGGAAGCCCCGGCTCAGTTCCGGTGACGCGGGTTCGAAAGCCCGGCGGGGTGGGTCTTTTTTTTTGTTGTGCCTTTGGTGCCTTTTGAAGGGCACAGGCCGCTGAAAAGAAGGCAGTCCACTATGGAGCTTTGGCAACCAGTGGTTGGTTTCCGAAGTCCTTTGTGGTTGATCTGAACGCCCTTGTTTTAATTGAGCGCGACCGCGTCTCGTCTTTTCTCTCCGATCCGCAGGGGTATACTAAGTCGGCAAAGTCCCTGATCCACAATCTTCGTCTTCAAAGAACCGTTTCATTGGACCAAATGATCCATTTAGGTTCCGATTGGTGAACATTCTGTGTTCAGTTCCTTTGCTTGCAAGTGAGAGATGGTAAGTTCCCTTTGGTCAGGTTCAAAACCCGGCCGGCGGGGTTGGGGGGAGCGGGGGCGCTTTTGGGCGCCTCATCTTCGGAATCAAGCATCGCTTTGGAGATTTGATTAGTTTTGAGATTTGGTGTCGCTTGTGAAAAAGCGTTTCCAATTGTTATTGCGTTTGGACTTGCCAAATTCCCTTGTCAACTAGACATGTCATTTTCATATTTACCGTTGTTCACCTCCTTCCTTCTTTAAATTCAATCTTCGAAACGTTTGGAAGGGAGCCTTGGAAGACTACTTTGATCAAGAGTAGAAATGTGCCCTACGCTTTCATTTGCTTTCAAATCATTGGTCCTTTGGTTTTGAATGGATGCAATATATGTCTTTGTCGGTGCCGCCAAAAGAGCAAAATGGAACAAGGGACGAGATAAGTCTGAACTTGTATTTCACAGGGAGTTGGAGGAGACATGTAGATGTCCCTTTCCGAGAGAGGAGGCAGCCCAGATTTGGGTGTGTCCTGAACCAAGTCAAGTATTCCCACACTTTGGCGTCCCAGCGATTTTTCTTTTACCCTCCCCCCCTTAACAGAGGAGGCCTTGCTTTCCAAGAAGGAGGACAGCTGGAAGGTTGGTCCTTGCAAGACGGCCTTATTGGAAAGCATTGTGAAAACTAGCTGGTTCCTGTGTGGAGGTAGAAGCCCAAACTTGTCAAGCGAACATGGCTTTTGCAAAAGACCACCTGGAAAGTCACCAATAGTCGCCATCAGCTTGCTATGTCACTGAGCCCCTTGTGCGATCACTTGTGCAAAGCGAATGGAGCGGATGTTTTCGTAAGTTTCAGGTTTGGCCCGTGGTCATTGTGGTCATGGCTCAATTCGGCTCTTTGTTTTGTTCAGGCGCGTTGTGCAAGTCTTTGCGAAGAGATGGGGGTGGGCCAGTGGGCAGGTGCCCTTTTCAATCCGTCACTAGACTCAGAATACAGTCACTTCCGCCGCAGACAAATCCCACATGGGCAACCAGCATCTGATGCATTCATACCACGATGAAATAACGTATTGTGCTCCCTGGAAGAAAATCAAGCAACATGGGGTGTCTCCTCAGAGCCATCCCTTCACCCATCGATAAAACAGGGGTTCTTTTAAGATCGTGCTTCTAAGAGGGTTTCCAGTACCCCCAAACCACAAACGGAGAATTGGAGTAATTGCTGCTTTGAAAAAGTAAAATAAAAAAATGGTGGCGAAAATAAATCCCATGGAACCCCTGAAGATAGTGGTTTCATGCTGGTGCGATATGCAGGGAATGAGAAATGGAATGACCCCGAGAAAATCCCATCCAATTGGTGGTTTCCTTTAAGGGGAACCCTGGGTTCATTCCAACTCATTTGCTATCGCACCAGCAAGGTTTAGAAATCCTGGAAACCATCTCTTGTCAATTCTCAGCATGGAATGAGGGAATGACCCTATAAACCATCCCTGGTTTCCTTTCAGGGAATCCCCGAAAAGGGTTCATTCCCAACACCCGGACTGGGTCGTTCCCTACCAATGGCTGCCAGAAATTTTATGGGGGCTTGGGAAAAAGGGAGGGGAGGAGCACAGAGCCCAAAGCCCTAAATCAGGCCTTGACAAAAGCTGAATCGGGGTTTTTTCTCCCCCCAGCCCATGAAAATGTGCCGCAGGCCGCGCCTTCCGCGCTCTGGCGGCTTCCGCGCTGCCGCGCCAGGGAGAGATCTGGGAGCCCGCGCCCGTGAGCGCCCGCGTCGGCGGCACCTCCGCTGGCCGTCGGGCGCTGGGAGCTCCGCTTGGGGGCGATGTTTAAGCGGGAGATCTACACAGACACATATACAAAAAATATGTAATTCTCATATACATATGATGTGTATATATATATATATATATATATATGTATTTATGATATGTTCGGGTGTGTGCTTTTGGGGGGTTGGGGTCCCCCTTTTTGTTCGGCCGCTATGAGGGACAGCAGACGCCAAAGATGTGTGCTTCTCGAGTGGCTGAGCGCCATGGCCCTCGCAAAGAAACGACGCAACAATGCCAGTTGAGCAACAATCAAAACCGATTCGGGTAGATGAAGGGTAGTAAGGGACAATCCCCTTGCCATAAATAGCTGCGGATCTCCGCCTTCTTAATTCTCTACATGGTTCTGGGTCGACCATTTTAGTACCAAATCGGTTTTGAGCAAGTGACTCAGTTGCGCACCGCAATCCTCGACCGTCGTTGATTCTACCGGCCCAGAAATTTGACATGTGTCTTGTGTTTGTTTTGACTGGACCTGTAAGGGTCAATCACGCTGAACAGCACCAGGATGCCGGCGAGGCTATGGCCTCCAGATCAACCTTCTGACTGGGGTCAAACCTGAAACTTTGGGTTGTCCCCTCATGTTGCACGAGACCCATCGGGTTGAAGTTATAGGCCAAAAACGGGCTGAGTCTGAGACCGAATGAAGAGATTGGTCGTCTCCAAGGCAAGATGTGGTTCGGGGAGGATGTAGAGCAGCCGGAGGAGCCCTTGCAGGACATTCTCAGCAAGGTACAGCCGCTGGGAACTTGGAGCTTGAGCATACAAAACTAGGCAGAGTGCCCGTCTCTCTCCTTTTTTGGTTGGGGGGGTTCCCCTACTAAAATAAACTACAGAAAAACAAATGGTACCCTTATTCTAACCTCTCTACGGAAGGACCTAGAAAAACCTTCACAATTGTGTCAAAGTACCAAAGGACTGGCTCGATTTTGCACCTTTCAAAGGGACCAAAAAGGGAGACCATCTCTTGTGCAATTTAGGGGGAAACTGATAGCTTCCTCATGGAGTGGGGAGGGTTTGGCTCGAGTCTACAAGTTGTTGTTGGGGAGCACCCTCAACATGTTTGCTGGTAGATCAATGTGTGGCTCCTGCTGCATGAGCCCCATATAATTTGCGTCCGTCAAAACTCTCTTTCAAGTTCTTCCCAAAAAAGTCTCCCGTGGCGTGCGGCCTTGGCAGGTGGATGTCGGTCCCGTGGGAGAGTTCGGCAGTATGAAGTCTCTGGTGGCTGCTGCACGGCTGCTGGTGCAGGCCAAGATCGCTGGAGGATGCGGAAAAAAACCGAACTTTGCGCACTGAGAATGGAGCATCAGCGGATCCCTGGAACCATAGGTGCTCTTTTTAGATGAGTTTGGTGAAAAATGAATGGGTTCCACTGCCGGGCAAACCCATCGATTGTTCTTGGAAAGGCCACCTAGGATCCTGCGTGGAAGCCTCCAACCCGCCCCAAGTTCTGGCTTACGGCTAAGGCGCCATATCGCGATTGTGACAAAGCTGGTGAAGCGAAAGCCCTGCAAATCCTTGCTACCTTGTTCCGAAGCACCTTACAACGGCATGTGCCCTCCCTCTTTTGGTGACGAAACAGGAACCGCCATCAAAGGTGGGTTGACGAAAACGAAGCCACGAGAAAAGGGGCACCAATTGTTGACTCCCTTTGGGTACTTTCCGCGTTGTTTGTCTTCTTCATTCTGCGGTTTGTCCAGACCGGAGGGAAAGGTTTCAACGGTTCGACCCGCCTCTGAAAGAAAGGAAGCACAGGAAGCCACCGACGTTCTTTGAGTGTCTCGGCTGATGACAAGCTTGCAATTCAATCTTTTCGTTTCGGAAGCTTCGTGTTGGCGTGCTGCGTGCCGTTGGTACTCTTCTTACACCCGACTCGGTCTCCCACCCATCAAGCAGTGTGGAGCCTTTGCAGGGCAGGTTACGTCTAGTCAAGCATTTCAACAACGTCAAGCAACGCCACATTAGCAGTTAGATTGTTTGTTGCGTGTAGGTGGAGTCGATAAAAAGATAGCCTAAATGACACTGAAACGGGCTTGCAAAGGGCCCGAAGCCTATGTGTGGCAACGAGCATGGTTTGAATACAACCCAAGAGGCACGGCGCATAAATAAGGAGGCGTGGCACATGAACAAGGCTAAGCTGCAAGTAGCTCGCGTGTTTCCTCAAGAAAAGTGATGATTCGCCCAAATCTCACCCTGGTTACTTGCTATCGTGACTTGCCTGGACAATGGCGCGAAATCAACACGCCTCTTAAAGAGGAAGCCCCATGGGCCTTGATTTCCCTATCGAAACACGTAAAACCCACCCAAAAAAGGAACAATCCCAACGCCAAAAAAAGAAAAGAAAAACTGGGTACAAATCGACGAAATGCACACAGCTGAAGACTCTGACCCTCGGTAGAAGGCATTGGGTCCTCACAATACAAGAGTATGTCTTGGATTTCTCGCTCATCAAGTCCCGCGTTTTCTGGGAAGATTTGCTAAAACTACTCATGGAGCGGTTTTTTCCCCCCGCTCATTGTCCCTGGCGGTTTTTTTTCCCGTGTGTTCATTGTGGAGAGCGCCACACGGAAACGGAGCTTCAGGAGCTCCGGCCGAGACAGCGCCGGGCGCCTTTGCGCTCTTTGCCTTGACGCTGCTCGGAGCTCAGCAGCTGGTCGAGGCGAGGGGAAATGAGCCACTGAGAAGCTTGAAATATATTGATATAAATAAATAATATGTATATATGGAAAGAATAAAGATGAATATTATGGGATTTTGGTTTGGTATTGTTTATTGTGCGGTATGTGGTTGCTTCATATGTGCTTTTTAATGGAATTATTTTGAAACTCAGTGCGGATCCAGCGTGCAGGTCGTTGACCTTAGCTCAGGTTTGCCAAGCTGTATTTGAATATAGGGCAATTTACGAGTTACAGGCACATTCAACTCAAACGGGATGGGTTGAAGAGGTTTCCCTCTCCGTCCGGGGACGTCCTGTGAAGCCACTGGGACATGGCTGGGCGGCACTCAAGGCCAAAAGTGTTCGGTTTTCATGGGAAAGGATTGGCTCAACAACCTCCATCAAAAGCAGCCTCACTGGCGGATGTCTTCAGGCCGCCTTGCCGACTGCCAAAGGATTGAAGAGATGTGTGAGATTTCTCCCCAAAAAGGAAAACCCTTGGAGGAAAATTGCTGGGACTGAACCCGATGGAAGAATGGCATTCAGAGGAGAGACCTTTGAAACTCATAACGCGTGGTTGCTTGTGGTTCCATGTTCCCGCGAAAAAGACTCGATCAGTTTGAAGTGGGCCTAAAGGTATCCCGGTATCTCTTTTTGTCCCCTTCGGGTGGTTTGTATTTCCAAACGGAGCTTGGCTTCAGCGAGGTGTTGATAGGAACTATTCGGAAGCCCCAAGAAGGCAATGGGAAGACCAGAGAAAAGCGCGTCGGGATCTCCAGATCGTTGTTTGTAAATTCATCCACCTTCCGGTTGAAAGTCGGGTGGCAAAAGCCCACGGCACAGGTTAACCATAAGGATTCCTCTTGTCCAAGGTTCTTTGGTCGAATTGCTGTGAGCTAATGCCGACCCGGCTTAACAAACACCTGTTTACTATGGGGATGCTCCCCTCCAGAAGGGATGATTCCCACAAGGGACACCCCCCAAAAGGAATAAGCTGCGAGTGATTCGTTAGGGATCAACATCCTCCATTTCCTTAAGCCCTGGAAGAAATCAATCTCCAAACCTGATAGATTCCAACTCTAAAAACCAAAAAAAACAAAAGGGGGAAATAACGACAAATCGTCATTTCGCCATGGTCAGGGATGTCGGTCCTTTGCTTGGAAGTCACTCAAGGGAAGACCAGTCACCTCAAGGGTCACGCAGAATCTGTCCGCTTCGCGCAGGGCCAGCCATGGGCGGACGCGCTGCTCCAAAGCGCTGCCTGCGCTTGGCGGGAGCTGCCAGCAGAGCGCTCGGCCTCTTGGCTGGATGCGATGCGCCCAGCGGTAAGCGTCCATTTCTCACTTCCCGCGTCATAGGTGTCCTTTTTTGGTTGGATTGCTTTAAAAATAGAGGGCCCTGGTTTAGATGAGGTTTATTTCATTTGCCACGGCCATCTATTTTTCCAAAAGGCAACTTGTGCCCCGCGTTCATGGACTTTAAGCACTTTTTGGGTTTGGTGACCATTTTTGTGGTACACATGGGTACTTTTATTTAGGCCACTCAGGAGGTGAGATTTTCTTGAGAAGGTGCTGTTTCCCCTGATTTTATAGGGAATCACTACTGGAAATATAGTTTCCCAGGGGACTTAAGCAAACCGAGGTAAAGTGGTTGGTTTCTCGTTACAGGAATGAGGAACCGGCCAATTCCAGCAACTCTTGAAAGCTGGGAAGAATATCGCAAGCAGAAGCACGAGGCGGTCTTCGTTTTTCGGAAACGAGCAACGCTGTCCACAGACAATCCAATGTTAACCCCGGAATAATAACCCCCTGGTTGATTAATAGGGGGGTGTCCCCTTTTAGTGGGGATTCATCACTTTTGGAGGGAACACCCTCCCAACAATGGGACGGGTTTATTGATCCTAGGTCAACATTGCGGCTCATCGACCAAACGTGACCTTTGGTGTTGTTGCAACTGGACCGCTCGTTCTAGGCCATGTCGGTTAGAAGCGCCATGCCAAAACTGCGGAGTGTCCGGATCCGGACCAAACAGAGGCTACCCAGTTCCTGAAAACGTTCTAAACAGGGGAGCCCCTCTCTTGGAGGTCATTCGTCTACAAGTTTTGATGCTTATAACTTATAACTGGCACTCACAAAAATGTCCTAAGAATGGGCAAAAGCAAGCAATCCAGTTGTGGGGTCCGCCATTTTTGGGCATCCAGCTTCCTGCATGGCATATGCACCCGTCAAATACGGGGGGGTACTCACAAAAGAGCTCCACGTCTAGAAACCGCCTGGCCCTTGCCTTCGATTTCTCGTGCGTAGGTCCATCCCTTTGGAGCGACTGAGGTGGTTTTCCGTGCAGTTCGCCTGAAAGGCGAAGACCTCTCAGCGTACAGGCGGCAAGACTGGGCTCGGCTGGCGTGCAGTCCAGTGATTTGGTCAAAACCTTCGGCCCAATGTTGACCCAGGATTAATAAACCCGTCCCATTATTAGGGGGGTGTTCCCTCCAAAGTGAATCCCCACTAAAAGGGGACACCCCTCTATGTTTATCAATCCGGGGTTAACAGAATGGTTGATTTGGGTGCAGCCAGTCACTTGCAACGACTTGGTTGAGCTGATCGATCATGTCTGATCTTAATGCCAATGTTTCATTTTGGAAGGACACGGGAAACTTGGTGGCTCCCAACCATGCCCACAGCTTTTTAGCCTTCTAATGTTTAGTGGTAGTTTCCATTTAACACTCAAAGTTAAACATTTAGCAGGGGATCTGAGGGCAGCCCAGGAAGAACTCTCCAATTGTCCGACACGACGAAAAGAGTCCCTAGGATTTGACACGCAGCCCTTGTTAAAATACAATCGCAACACCTGTGCACCTGGACTTGGCATGGAGAAAAGGTTTTCCCCTTTTAAGAAAGCCATGACGTCATTCCCTTGTTAGGTGAGTTTGGTTAGAAATGAATGGGTTCCACTGGTTTAGGAGGGTTATTGCCATTTACCAGGGAAACCCATCTGTTTTTCCCAAAGGTCACCTATGGCCATGACCTTGAGAGAGTCTTGGCCAATAGCAAATCCAGATCGACCGGCCGAGGAGCTTTGTCAGTGAATCTCTTGCGAGCCTCCCTGAAGCGCCCCAAGCCTTTCGCAAAGCGTCCCATGCCTGTATCCCGCGCTAACAAATGGGCCATGAAGAGAAGTATGCCAAACAGGCAGCCCTTCAGTGAGTCCTGGGACTAAGAAAAGGCAACGAATTGTACATGCAAATACGCAGGGATTCGTGAATACATACATCCATAAATGCAGGCATGCGTACATTACATACGTACATACATACGTACACACATGCATATAGATCCACGCATATATCCACACATGCATAAATACATGCATACATTCAAGCATCCACCCTTGCAGTCATGCACATGCAGACATGCAGACATGCACACATGCATACATGCATACATGCGTACATCCGTACATACGTACATAAGTACATACGTACATATGTACATATGTGCATACGTACATACATACATACGTGCATGCATACATACATACATATACACACACATACAGGCATACATACATGCTGCGCGCATGTTGACATTCATGCATCCGGGCATGCCTTCGCACATACATACATACATACGCACGTACGTACGTACATACGTACACACGTACACACGTACCCACATACATACATAATGCATACATACATACATACATACATACATACATACATACATACATACATACATACATACATACATACATACATACATATGCACACAGACACACACGGGCATACCTACATGCTGCGTGCATGTTTACATACATGCATCCAGGCATGCATACATACATACATACATACATACATACATACATACATACATACATACATACATACATACATACATACATACATACATACATACATACGTACGTACGTACCATGCGTACACGTACATACGCGTATACATGCACATACATGCATACATACGTACATACATACATGCATACATACATACATACATACATACATACATACATACATACATACATACAATACAACATAGCACCTAGATACCTACGCACGTGCATACATACAGACATACTGACATACATGTCTATATACATGTACCTTTATTCATGCGTGGCTGAGTTTGTGCGCGCAAACGCGCGTGCGCACACATTGATACATGCATGCACGCATACGTATGTACAGACGTACATGTATTTGTAAGTACGTACATACATGCACGCATGCGTGCGTGCATACACGTGCGGGCATGCACGCGTACATGCGTACATGCATACACTCATGCGCGCATACGTGCGTGTCTTGTACGCCTGGACATTTGTGCTTGGAATGCTCTTCTAGGTCCCCCAGCTAGGTGCCCTTTCTCACCCCTTTTCTAGTTGGGAGGGTTCCCCTACTAAAATAGACAAAAAGAAGAAAGTTAGTTCCCTTATTCTACCAAAAGTTGGTACCCTGATTCTAAACTCTCTACTGGAGGACCTAGACCCCTTTAAAATCAACCCACAAGAGTTTGGCCTTTTTCCCCATCACTGGAGGGGTGAGTTTAACCCATTCGATTTCATTGCAGGACCTAGTCGAAGAAATGTCCCACGTGAGGCGCCAGCTGGAGCTGCTAGCGGAAAGGCGCCCGGTGAGTTGGCCCTGCCTCACATACGGCACCCTGGACCGGCGCCTCGCGATGGCCGAGCCCTCGGGGTTAGCGAAGCCAGGGATCGAATCAATCAAGGCCTTCTGGGTCCCCCAGTAGTGCCCTTTGACCAACTTGTTTGGTTGGGAGGGTTCCCCTACTAAAATAGAAGCAAAAAATCGGGCACCCTTATTCTAACCTATATACCGGAGGACCTATCCTTAGGTTGCTCTTCCTGGGTGTTTTTTTTTTTTCTGACATGTTCATTTGTACCTTTTACCTTTTGGTTGCCTGTCTCATTCTTTCCTGAGGTCTCGGTTTTTTTTCTATTTCTAACATTTTCAGTTTCATCATGTTTTTTGTCCAGTCTCATTTTTCCCGGCTGGCTTTTCAGTAAGCCGTTTTGAGACACCCAAGGCAAGGGGGTGGATAGGTGATTTACTCACTTCCAAGCGCAGGGCTTTCCTGGGCTTTCAGCATGAGGGCCAAGGTGGCAGGGAAGGAGATACATCAGGGGCCCAACGGGACCAAGTTGGATACTCCTTAGTTTTGATATGGGTGTGGCTCAAAATTAAACAGGAGGGGCAAACCGCAGGACTTGGTCCATGTTTCCACTTGAGTTCCATTTTGGTACCGGTTTTTTGAGCCACCGCCACATGGTTTAGGGGTTTACTGTGGATGGACGAAATCCATTTCGCACCAGCAAAGAAACCCTGGAAGAAGATTCCCCTGAAAATAGCAACAAACAATGGTTTCAACCATGATTTCAAAGTGGTGCGAAATGGATTGCGTCGATCCACAGTATGGCTGAGGGGTTCGTCACTTCCAGCAGTTGCCTGAACTCTGAACTTTTGAAGTGATCCATTCAGGGGCCCCCAGTGTTGGACTGTTTTTGATGAAGCCACGCAGGAAGTGAGCGCATGCAAACGGCAACCGTAGTTGGGGGGCAACTATCAATTTGTTGCCATTAGGCAAACATAGCTTGTTTTGGTTTTCTGTTCAAGACGTCAACAGAAACGCCGCGGCAAACCTGGGGCGGTAGACAAGTGAAATCGCAGGTTTCGCGACCTTTGGGGGAGGGCCATACTTGCGCAGGGTGAAACACTAGGGGGCAAAAGAGGCTTGGTACTCCAGAATTCTATTTCGGCATGAGCTTTAAGAAACCAAAAGGCTTGCCTGACCCGATGAGTTGGCACCACTAAGGATGAATTCTGACTGGAGGCTGTCCAACCTTTGGTCACGTAAACCCTGACCCACTTGAGGGGGCAGGCTTCCGGGTTTTTTGCCAAACGGCAACTTTCCCTGACCAGTAGTGGAGCGAAAATCTGCTTTGATTCGGGGAGCGAGAGGAAGTTTCCAGTGTTCAATTCGATGACACAGGCGTCGGGTGAAACCCGGGGGCGCTCCCTATCACAAACATCAATATGTGTTGAAGTCTGAAGGGTTTCCAAGCTCGTTTTGACACATGCATTGGCATGTCCTCCAATAGGGTCAGGAAAAGAAGGTCGGTATTTAGAAGACTTAAACGTGGATTCCCCATTTTTATGTGGTCAGAGCGGCCGTTCACAGCGTGCGCCAAGGCCTACTTGGAGGATTGGGAGGACGCAGCCAAGGGCTCGGCTCGCTTGAACTTTATGGGTTCGGGGGGCCAAGATCTGGCGTTTGATCCTGGGGTAGACTTGGGATATATTTTGCATTTTACCTTTGACTCAAAGTGATGCAAACAATAAAATATACATTCTATAACTGGTCCCCACTTTAATCTGGCGAATGGGGAGGAATGCGAAGGATAGGCAAAGAACCTGTTGGGCATCGCCGGGCGCATATGATTTCTTGGCCTTGTTGGACATTGGTTCCCGGGTGGATGGACGAGACCTCGTGTATTCCCCAAATCAACCCCTCAGGGCTTCAGGGAAAAGACAGCCACTTTACAGCCTCTTCAATGAAACTTGTAGCCTGTGTCCCCTTGGATCTCACTGTAGGCGTTGGTCTTCAAGATCTACTGCCTCACCGCCAGAAGGCAGGTCGCTTCGTTTGTTCGATTTGTTCTCGCGCGGGCTGCAACGCAGGAGGTTGTTCAAGACAGGTTTATGACAAACTGACTGCTAGCGTGCAAGAAGCGGCCGCCACGTCAGCACTGAACATCATGGGGATGCAAAGCCCTTTTAGCGAATTGGGCCCGCGGCTATACCGTCTCGAGCATATGCGCAGGATACACGAGTTCTCTTGGCTGGCCGGCGAGAATGAGCACCCCGCAGCGACCTCGATCCGACTTAGACCCCTGGACCCACCGAAGAACCCCCGTTCTCAGCTTATCTATTGAGTTGCCAAACCTTAAGTTCTTAACTGCAACCAGGTAGGGAGCCGAACAGTTCAGTCTTTGCTTCGCGGGATTCCGCTCTAACCCCCCGTTCAAAACTTTGCCCCTTGCTAAATCTCTTACGTGGATCTTATGAATTGTATTGAGCAACGCCCTGAAAAGTGGTTGGTGGACTTAACTGATGTCCACCATTTCGCGTCCCTAATGAAAATTCATACCCAAATTGAATTCGCATGGAACGGGCCCATGGCAAACACCTCCGTAGTCTCCTATCAGCAGGAAGGAGCTCCCATTTGTTGCCAGTTAGGTCGTTCGGATGCCAGCCGGTTGATTGAAGTGTTGCCAAAGCTGGCTGGTGCAAAAAGTCGGGAATTAGGGAATGAACCTGGGGGTTCCCTTTAAGGAAACCACCAGTTGGATGGTTTAGAGGGGGTGATTTGCTCATTCCCTGCTGCACACCAGCAAGAAAGTTTGGCATAGCTTTCGCCGTAGCGCAAGTTTGCAGGCCGCATGAAGTGCCTCGGGATGCATCAATTCGGCTCATAGATTGTGGTGCAGATGTGTGCAGTACCCAAGCTCATGTCCTTTTTCCAGTGATTCTCCACAAACCGCCCGAAACCTCTCCAGCCACGTGCCTGCCGGTGGGCACTTGACCCATGTTGAGCTGATAGGTGTCCTTTTTAGGTGAGTTTGCTTGAAAATAGAGGGGTTCCCCTGGTTTGGGGGGTTTGCCATGTACCAGGGAAACCCATCGATTTTTCACCAAAGTTTGCGCCAAAAGGTCGAGCTCCACTCAGGTCCTCCAAGAGTCGCTGATTGCCCCAGGCACTCAGTTCGAGGCGGGCCGTCAGGTTCAGACCACCTAAGCCAGGCCCTTTGGGTGCTTTTGTGCGGCAAGGTGCTTTTGTGTGGCTTCATCCTTTGGGTGTTTTTGATCTTTGGCCTAGAAAGTCCCCCAGCGAGTGGTGCCCTTTTTTGCCGTGCTTTTTTTTGGTTGGCAGGGCTCCCCTACTAAAACTGACTACAGACAAAAGTTGGTACCCTTATTCTAACCTCTCTACTGGAGGACCTAGTTTGGCTTCTGGGGCAAGTGACGTCTTGAAAGGGCGTCAAACGATTCAGGCGCGAGTTGGTTGATAGGTTTGGGGTTCCCAACTCCGGGACAAACATCTTCCACCCCCCCCCTCCTTTTTTGCATGTTCATCCTTGAAACTGAAAACAAGCCGGAAGCAAGCAAAACCGTGCAGGCAGCCGCCACCACCACCACCACCACCACCACCACACGCAAGCAACCAGTTGCGGACAATGTGGGGTTTGGTTTATTGTGGCCAGCCCCCCTCTCCCAAACATTGCCAGCAGTCAAAATTCAAGCTCCTTAGTGGGACTTGGGCATGGGCTCCAGTTGGGCAATGCCAAACTAAGTAGTGGCAATGTATACTTGGGATGTGCCAGCGCAGTCACTACGGTCCCCAAACCAAAGGTGTTGCCAACACTGCTTTAGTAGGGCAAAACAGTCTAATCAATGGATGAAATTGTGTGTGTGTGTGTTTTTTGGGGACTATTAGCATTGCCAAAACATGCTTGTGTTTGCCAATACTCAGTTCAGTTTTGCCAATGCTCACCTTAGCGTAGCCAACTCTTGCTTTAGTATTGCCGGTTCCCAGATCTATGGTATTCGCAACACTTATTGCATTTGGTAGGCCAACACTTGCTTTGGTACTGCCAATACTTACGCTCCCCCCGCCAACAAAAAGTTGTCTTTGAAGCATTGAAGAGAACTCTAAAGGGCCATGTTGGCTCTTGTGGGCGCGACCCCCCTTGGGGTGACGGGTTCCCCCTGATTCCTTACATTGATGGTTGGGCCAGCTGTTGAACCAATGTGAGGCCTAAACATTTGAAGTTCAGATGTGAGAAAAATGGGCTCATATTTCCTTCTCCAACAAAACCACAACTGCCACAATCAGATGTCTTTGGTATGGTTACATGGCCGCGGCGCCAGGATCTGCGGTTGCAAAAATAATGAGCTCACCTGAAACTACTTGGTTCTCAGGGATGTCGGCCCTTTGCTTGTTGGAAGTCACTTGTACTTAGATGCTGCTTTGAGAAGGCTCTTCGGGATCGAAGCCCTTTTGGGCTACTTACCTTTT